ATATAGATTTAACCAAGCTTAAACGTGGAGCTCTTATTGCAATAAATTAACTTGGCCTGCCTGTGATCCACTGAAAACCAGTTCCTGGTCAGCAGTCAACTTCAAAAAACATATGTCCTGGATGAGCTCTTAACCGGAGCCTGCAATATGGTCATGTGATACTGCTCAGCAGATACCTTGATTTAGCAGGTGCCAATTAGCTCTAACATGGATGTCCCATACCAAATACGTATGCTGTAAACCATGGCTGCGTGCCTCGGTCGACCCATTAGCTGGAGTATTTTTGTCATGTTGTGCAACATCGCTTTTCATTGTGGGGTGCTCACACTCGCCGCCGCTAGCCATGTTGACCAACGAAAAAGAGTTGCATGGTTTTCTATTTCTATGCAGGCATGTGGTTCTGTTCCTGCAGTTACGAGGCTCCACTTGGTGGACCCTTGGGCCGCCGGAGCTCCGCTAATGGCAAAGACAACTAACTTAGTTTGTTTTGAACAAAATGTGTTAGGGGGTTTGAGTTGCAGTTAACCCATAGAAATAAAAAACTTAGGACTGTAGCAGTCATAGCGTGGCCGAGTGGTTTAGAGCGCTGGATTTGAAATCTGGAGGTCCCTGGTTCAAATCCTTCACCCTACTGCTATCTGGATTGGTTTAAACATGTCGCGACTGGTTTAAACATGTCACATGACCAAATATTCCCCAGGTGAAACTGGGGAATATGCGAGAATATTCCACAATTTTCAATACTGCACGCATTGTGAAAAAGATTTTGAAGAATAATAAACACAATAGCCTCCATTTGGGGCGAAAATATGCTCGCATAATTGTCCTTGGACATTATCTGTTCCTCGAAGCTCACAGTTTTCCCCGAGCTATGTTCTCGGAAAACTGTTCGCTTCTCGGAACAGACAATGTTCGCGGGCAAATATCCTAGCATATTTTTGCATCAAGTGGAGGCTGTTGTTTATGTAGACCACATAGAAGCACTTAACAGCTTTCATTTGAATGGTCACGGTTTAGGGTTTCGTCCGCAGACTTGAAATTCAGAATCACCTTGCGCAGCATAATAAGCAGTACTAAATGAAAATACTGCTCAATAGCGTTAGTGTGAGCGGTCACACACCCAATTTTAGATTGAGTGAGATAATGTTTTCGTTTAAGTCAAATAATATTATTTTTGTCTTCATTTCTATCAGGCATTAAGAAAAGAAGAGC